GCCACATTTATGATACTATGACATAAAGCTATAAAGGCACCGGCAAAATAAAGCCTATGATTTATAAATAGCATATAAGCTGTCTTTCGTTTTGAAATGCATTGTCCCCATCTTGCCTAGGAAAGGGCGTTCTCTGCACACAAAATCACCAAGAGCACTAAGATATTAATGTCCAGGTCCCACCCCAGGCCAATGAAATCAGAGTCTCTGGGAAAGGGGCCCTGGTATGTAAATATTTCTTTATTTGTTTGAAAGGCAGAGTTATGGGGTGGGGGGAGGAGAGAGAGATCTACCATCACTGGTTCACTCACTGTCCAAATGGCTGCAATGATTGGGGCTGGGTCATGTGGAAGCCAGGAGCCTGGAACTCCATCTGGGTCTCCCACATGTGTGGCAGGGGCCCAAGCACTTGAGCCATCTTCCTCTGCTTTCCCAGGTGCATTAGCAGGGAGCTGGATTGGAAGTAGAGCAGCTGGGACTTGCTGGTGTTGAAGGTGGTAGCCTAACCTGCTACACCACAATGCTGGCCCCTGTATGGGTATTTCTTTTTTTTCTTAAGATAAACTCTTAAATATATATATATATATATATATATATATATATATATATATATTTATTTATAGGCAGAGTTAGACAGTGAGAGAGAGAGAGACAGAGAGAAAGGTCTTTCTTCTGTTGGTTCACCCCCCAAATAGCTGCTACGGCTGGTGCACTGCACTGATCCGAAGCCAGGAGTCAGGTACTTCCTCCTGGTCTCCCATGCCGGTGCAGGAGCCCAAACACTTGGGCCATCCTCCACTGCCTTCCCGGGCCACTGCAGAGAGCTGGACTGGAAGAGGAGCAACTGGGAATAGAACCCAGGGTACCGGCGCTGCAGGTGGAGGATTAGCCTAGTGAACCATGGTGCTAGCCTTTTTAAAGATTTATTTATTTATTTAAAAGAGTTACACAGAGAGAGGAGAGGCAGAGAGAGAGGTCTTCCATCTGCTGGTTCACTCACTAATTGGTCACAACGGCTGGAGCTGTGACCTGAAGCCAGGAGCCAGGAGTGTCTTCCGGGTCTCCCATGTGAGTGCAGGGGCCCAAGGACCTGAGCCATCTTCTACTGCTTCCAGGCCATAGCAGAGAGCTGGATCAGAAGTGGAGCAGCCAGGACTCAAACTGGCACTGCAGGTGGAGGCTTCACCGCTACACCACAGTGCCAGCCCCAGCTGTATGGGTATTTCTAAGAAGCTTCCTCAGGGTCCGGTTCTGTCACATAGCAGGTAAAGGCCCCACCTGCAGTGCCGGCATCCCATATGGGCACTGGTTCGAGTCCCAGCTGCTCTACTTCCGATCCAGCTCTCTGCTGTGGCCTGGAAAAACAGTAGAAGATGGCCCAAGTCCTTGGGCCCCTGCACCCACATGGGAGACCTGGAAGAAGCTCCTGGCTCCTGGCTTCGGATCAGCGCAGCTCTGGGCTGTGCAGCCATTTGGGAAGTGAAGCAACAGATGGAAGACCTCTATAACTTTGCCTTTCAAATAAATAAATACATCTTAAAAAAAAAAAAAAAGCTCCCCAGTCTTTTTTTTTTTTTTAAGATTTATTGTCATTCTCTCTCTCTCTCTCTTTTAAGATTTATTTATTTGAAAGATAGAGTTGCATAGGGAGAGGGATAGAGAGGTGTGTGTGTGTGTGTGTGTGTGTGTGTGTGTTGGGGGGGTCCTTTCAAGTGGCTGCAATGACCAGGGCAGAGCCAATCTGAAGCCAGGAGCCAGGAGCTTCTTCTGGGTCTCCCACGTGGGTACAGGGACCAAGGACTTGGACCATCTTCTGCTGCTTTCCCAGGTGCATTAGTAGGGAACTGGATCAGAAGTGGAGCAGCAGAGACTCGAACCAGTGCCCATATCGGATGTCGGTGCCACAGGCAGCAGCTTAAGCTGCTGTGCTACAATGCTGGCCTCCCTTCACCCCCAGTCATTCTAATATGCATTTTAGGATGGGTTCCGATGCCCCTGAAAGTTTAGTGGGTGAAAATGCTATTTGTATTATTGGACCTGGATTCAAATTCTGGGTTTACTATTTGCTGACTGTGTGACCTTGGGCAAATTGCTTGGTCTCTGTGAGCTTTGGTTTCCTCACCTGAAAAATAAGGTTCCATACTACCTAGTTCAAAAGGTTGTCATCAATTCAATGAGATAATGCAGGGACGCACTTAATATTATGTTAGGAGTACTTAACTTGATACTTACTCAGAGTTCAATAAGTAGGAATATTGTTCATATTATGGTTAACTCAGAATGCATTTCCATTAGTAGGAACAGATGTCACTGGAGAGTTTTAGGGGATTCGGGGAAGCTATCCTGGAATTTACCCTTTGGTTGTGTAAATAAACCACAATAGGGGTTGGTGTTTGGTGTCCCGATCAAGATGCCTCTAGGGATGTCCTCATTCCACATCACAGGGCCTGAGTTCAAGTCCCATCTCCATTCCCACTTCCAGCTTCCTGCTAGTGTGTACCCTGGGAGGCAGCAGGGGATGGCTCAACTGGTTGGGTCCCTCTACCCACCTGGGAGACCTGGATTGCGTTCCTAGCCTCCAGCTTTGGCCTGGTCCAGCTCCAGCTGGGGCAAACATGAGGGAATGATCCACCAAATGAGAGCTCCCTGTTTCTCTGTGCCTTTCAAGTAAAACAAATGATTAATGAAAATAAAGAAACCACAGTGAGTGCTGCTTGACGCAAGCCCATGCATCCGAGAGTTAGAGCCCAGAGCCCTGGAATGCACGGGCGGTTCTCTCTGGATCTTCCCAGACTCTGTGCACCCTTAGTGGTGCCCGTGAGAAACTGAGATGAAAAGGATAGTATCCATGTTGTGGGTGATAAATACATTTAAAAAAAAATAATTGCTTGCCCACACTTGGACTTTTTAGAGCTGAATTCCTTTTGAGTACAAGGTCTGCGGGCCTGTGATTATTTGCGTGGCTGGGATATATAATTGTGTCTTTCTGTCAAAGCCAAAACCAAGGTGCCGTCTGAGTTGACCTGGTCAGCCTCAAGACAGAGAGAGGGGCTTCTCTCTGCCCATCTTTTTCTTTCCTTCTCTTCATTCCTGAACCTTTGCATGTGGACTGTCCACCTTGTTGACTCAGATGTGTGTTATGACCGGATGAATTCCTCCTGCCCCCTCGGGCTTTCAGCTCCCTTCTGAAATCAGGTTTTGGGAAAATCAGTCACTTGCAAAAGAGCAGCACAAAGGGTCGTGGCAAACAAGCAGAATCCCTAGTGGTGAAGACCAATTAGCAAATTTATTAATTAGAGGCCAGTTTACCCTTCCAGAAACATGCTCAGGCAGGGAGCCAATCCCGCGTGCCAAGCCTGCCCCACTGCTGTCCCAGAGCAGACCCGCAGCTCCTGCCCTCTGGTTGACCATCAGAGCTAATGGTTTGCTTCTTGGAACGAGAGCCTTGACCTTCCCTTAGCGTCTGGCCCCAAAGGTTAAGCAAGTTCATTTGAATGTTGTACACCATGGGCATGCAAACAAACAGGCTGTATGTCTTCACGCACCCCAAGCCTCCATGCAGAGGCCCCCGTGGGGCTAGAATTATTCACAGAGCTGCCGCGTGTGCTGCTCTGTGGCTGAAGCATAAGTCATGCATTCCAAAGTCGCGTGGAAATGCGTTTGGTGCTTGCTGCAGTTCTGGCTTCTCTGCTCCATGGGTGTCTGTAATTGGGGTGGGTGCTCTGTGTATTTATGAGAGGCATGGCTCTTGAAGGGAGGAATATTCTTGAGCAACATTGGGTGAGATCAAAGAGCTTCTCACTCATTCTGCAGGGCCTTCATTTGGTTTCTCAAGCTCCACACCCTTAAACATAAACAGTCCATAGGATGGGAGTTGTTTTGTGTTTTGTTTCTTACTTCCACAGTTGGGGGACTCCAAGGCTGGTTATGAGAAAGTTGCAAGAATGCTGAACATTTCCGGTATGGGGTGCTGGGCCAGCGACATCAAAGGTCCCGTCTTCAGCAGCCTGAGTGCACAGTGACAGCAGCTTTCATCTTGTCCCCCCGCCCCACCCCTCCTCATGATTGCTTGTGTTTTTCACACCAGCCAAACGCAGGGAGGTTGCATGACCACAGTGAGTGAGCCACAGAAAGCGTTTGCCTTGGAAGGGCTTTGTACACGCTAACTTTGTGGAATCTTTGGCCTCTGGCTCAACCAGGATGAGGGTGGAGTGTGTGTGGGAGTGGTGGGGATGGTCATGGTTAATTCAATGCAACATGTATTCAGGATGTTTCCATAAAACATGACCTCATCTCTTCCAGCCCTCTGGCCATCCTTACTCTGGTGGTCATTTTTGGCTTGGTGGTTACAAAAATAATTCTTTGAATTACTAATGTGGAAATTCATAGATTGCACGTAAATTGTTCTTACCTCCCCCTAAGAGGCAAGAGTTTCCACAACATCAGAACAACTCATCAGTTCAAACAAAAACAAAGTAAAGCAAAGCAAAACAATAAAATCCATGGCAGATCATTTGTTGGGTATCAGGCAGATCAAATAGCGAGGAAAATGCCTTCCTGTGTCTCTTTTCAAATAATTGCATTTTTCATCCTAAATAGATAGGCATATTATGATTGGTAGGAAGACAGATTTATTTATGCCACAGACATTTGTTAAGTACCCATTATGTATCAAGTGCACAAAACCGATGATGTTTTATGATGTGGAGACAGATGAGAAGTAAGTCAGTAAGTAAATGTCATACAGGAAATACTCAAAAAGTGGCAGGATTCAATAGTGACCGAAACTTGTGTTTACATTGTGAAATCCAGTAAAATAAAAACACATCTTGAAAGATACAAGACAGTTGGGGGGGGGGATATTTGGTTAATAACAAAGAAAAGCGTTCCTTTGTGGGGATTATCGGAAACTCTTGGAGAGGAACTGTTCCCCCAGACACCAGCTTTTAGCTGAGTCGCCCTTGTCTTCGAATCAACTGCCCCTCCCCTTCCTCTCACAGGGGGAAGTCCAGCCAAGCAGACCACCTGGGAAGGAGGACACCGGGTCCCGGCACTGGCTTACTGGCCAGGCAGAATCCCAGCCAATGTCACCAGCGCTGCCTTATTAAGGTATGAGACCAGACTACTCTGAGATGTTGGGGTTTAGAACAAGGACAATGGATGCCTGGGTAACGAGAGACCTCATAGGCACGTTCACAGCCTGGCTAGCCTGGGTGCTCCCTGAGACTTCCAAAACTCAGAGAGCTGCAGTGTGGATTTGCCTTGAGAATTCCATGTACTAGTTAAAGTCATGGTGCAGTGGGACGCAAGCATCCTCTGGGGTTCATGGCTGAGAGAAGAGGGGCTTGGGTTGGTCTCACATCCTCAGTGCTGGTCTTGGCCGTGTCTTCTGCAGAGAAAGCCACAGCAGCAGCATCTCCCATGTGGGCCTGGGCCATGCTGACGGTGCGTTGTTGATCCTTTGAGCCCTCAGCATTCCAGCCTGAAGGTTGTTGGGTGTCCTAGGGGTGACGGTAAGAAGCCTGCACATCATTGGCCATCAGACGGCCCCAAGACAGGAGTCCAGATGTCCCAGAGGGGAGGGGAAAGGGAGGTGGCCTCATCAGGCCAGGAGGGGAAGAATGAGGACTTGTTCCTGCTGCTGACAAGCTTCTCCAACCAGATGAGTCTCTGGCTGCTTCCTTTATCTGAAGGACCACTGTAGATATCCTATCTCTCTGTCATCCTTATCTCCCTGTGACGGCACGGTCCAGGAGGCCATCTCCTTGGCAAAGAACCTGGCTGTGGTGTGTGGATCTGAAAGCAATGCCGTCCCAAGTGGAATCATGGCTTGCAATGGGGGCTTCTTGGCTTCTTGCTGATTCAATTGGGGGCTCTTCTCCACGGCTCTGCCCTGTATTCTCTGACTAGGGCCCTCTCTGCCATAGACACTAGTTTGTGTGCTCAGAGGTTAGGTCTTCTTAAATATCAGTTTCCTAGTTAGACTCTTCACAAGTAGCATGGTGTATTCCTGCATAAAGAACCCAGTGGAACGAGGGAAGAGTCATCGGCCTCCTCCTGCCTCCCCAGACCCACTGGGGAGGAATCCCATGGGAAAGAAAGGGTAAACAGCTCTCGAGGCCACTGTAGGGGGTGGGTAGGCATCACGCCTGGCAGCCCGCAGGGCCCCCAGGCACTCAGGGTCGGCCCTGTGTAATCAGGCGGAGGCAGCACGCTGTCAGCGGGTGCCAGCAGGTGTGACAACAACAGCGCAGCCTGGAATCTGTGATGTCAGGCCGGCCGGGAAGAGGGCCAGGCGGGCTGCTTTTTATAGGGCTGACTTGGTGTAGTGAGAGTGCTTATCGAGGGGGGCCAAGTGTTCACGGGCTAGGCTGCACATGCACAAATAGCTCAGCCATCTTTCTAGTTACATCACCAGAAACCAAGCGGCTGCTTCGCATTGGAGAAGGGTGTTTACGCTCACGGTCAGCTGTGGCACCATGATATAACTGCATCATCTCACTGAAGATCGAAGGCCTCAGAGGTGACAGCTGACTGAGGGACAGTTTGGTGACCAAGGCAAGCATTCTTGGTGCAAGGTAGCATTTGCTTGAAGGCCCCTGGAATTTTATGAGGATATCAACAGCATACCTTAATGACTCTTCTTAGAATATCTATATCCATCAATCACCTTATTTATTTCTTTTTTTGAGAAGCGGAAGAGAGAGAGAGAGTTCCCCCATCTGCTGGTTCATTCCCCAAATGCCCGATGTGGCCCTGGTCTGGGCCAGGGCTGCAGCTGGGAACTGGGAGCTCAATCCAGGTCTCCCGTGTGGGTGTCAGGAACCCAGTAACTGGCCATCACCACTGGCCCCCTACAATCTGCATTACTGGGAAGCTGGAGTCAGGAGCCACAGCTGGGAATTGAACCCAGGCACTATGATAGGAGACTTGGGCATATTAACCACTGGGTCAGACACCTGCTCCAGGATTTTTTCTGGTGTTGAAATGCACCTGGAAAGTTTTGCCTGCAGAGACTCACCCTCTTGGGATTTCCTCCTGTGAATTCATGTAAAGCAGATCTGGGCGGAGCTTCCCTGCTGGGTAGAAGGCCACTAGGTGTCTGTTACCCTTTCTCCTGACTCTCAGGGTCAGTCCCAGGGAGAAATGGATTAAGAGCCCCACTGGAGAAGATTCTTGGGAGCCCACCTGGCACCCAACAGTGCTGATCTTTAGTCCTCAGAGGGACACAGATTTCCTTCTAGGTCAGGGATGACACCCTTAAGCCGCTGAAAGCTAAGGTGTCAGAGTCCCTTCAACCTGTATTCCAGTGGCCCTGGGGAATTAGGGTCATCCGAGAGTCGTCACCTTGATGTCAGCACTCACATGAATATAGAATACTACGGAGTGAATGGTGAAAAGGCATGTGAGGGGCGGGGCGGGGGGGGGCACACCACACCCACTGGCTATCTTTATTTTTTAAATGATAAAAATGTATACTGTGTTAATAGGCATATTTGACACTCGTAGAGGGACGTTAGTAGCTGCTACAGGTTCTGTTTGGAAGCCTCGTGTACAATTCTCAGGTTTTTGTAAGTGTCAGTGCAGGAGACATTTGACTCTTGTGTTTGTATCTCGTTTTTATGATTGCTGTACTAACCCATGTCTTTTTGGGGAGGGGTGAAAAGAGGTTTGAAATAAAAATGTTTAGAAATTAAAACAAATGATAAAAATGTATTTATTTGAGAGGGAATGAGAGAGCAAGAAACAGAGCACTTCTGGCAGCTCACTCCTCCCTCCTGGCCTGGGCTGGGTGGGGTGAAACTGGGAACTCACCTCAGGTCTCCCAAGTAGGTAATAAGAGCCCAGGGACTTGAGCCACCCCTTTTGCTTCCCAGGGTCTGCATTGGCAGGAAGCTGGAGTCAGGAGACAGCACCAGGTATTGAACCCGGCTACGCTGATGTGAGACACAGGCATCCTAACCACCAGGCTAAGCTAGCCTGCTTCTTGTTCTCTTTTAGAGATAACCATCACTGGGATTCAGGTATGCACCCAGGTGATGTAAGGAAAAGATTAGAGAAAGGGCTTGCATGTGACTTGTTCCCAAAGTCCTGTGACACAACTCAGAATGGGGACAATTCATTTATTCTACAGGCGTCTGTTGTGTCCACCTGTGGGTGCAGCATTGCTCCAGGGACTGGGGAGACAGACTGTGAGCCAGTCGGATAGGAACCCCTGGTATGGAGGAGCTTTGGGAGCCCGTGGGAAAGTCGTGATAGGTGTTTTGATCTAAGACTCTAATGCAGGGGTAGCCATTAGTTTGGTGCAGCAGTGAAGTTGCCACTGGGGACGCCTGCATCCTGTATTAGAATGCTGGGCGCAACACCCGGCTATTCTTTTTCCTCTCCAGCTTCCTGCTGCTGCACATCTTGGGAGGCAGCAGGTAGTGGCCAAGTGCTTGGACTCCTGCCACCCACGTGCGACACCCAGGTTGAGTTCCAGGCTCCTGGCTTTGGCCTGGCCCAGTCCTGGCTGTTATAGGCATTTGGGGACTGAACCAGCAGATGGAAGAACTGTCTCTGTCTCTAATTTCTCCCTCTGTTTCTTTGCCTTTCAAGTAAAATGAAAATAAATAAATAAATAGAATGTTAACGGTGATGCAGGGTTTCTCAAGCTTGTCATCATTGACATTTTGGGCTAAAGATGATTTGCTGTGGGGCACTGTCCTGTGCAATTTAGGATGTTCAGTAGCACCTTTGGCCTCTACCCTCCAGATGCCAGAAGCCACCCCTCCTCCCAGCCGGGATAAACAAAATGTTTCCAGGAAGCAGCAGATGTCCCCTGCGAGGACAAAAGCAGGCAGGTTGAGAACGAGCGTTTGAGTGCCCCTCCCCTTAGCCACGTTCAGGAAGGCGCAGGGCTGCCCTGCAGCCGAGCTTGGAGTCCCCATCTTGTTCAGGGAGGAGCACCAGGCTCTCGGAGATGGACTGGGGCCAGTGTGAGGTGACTGCAGCGGTAGAAAGGACCCGAGATAACCGCATCTGGAAAACAGCTAAGCTGCCGCCGAGCCGGGAGAGCAGAGTGTCCAGGGGCTGTCTTGTGGCTGTCCTCATGTGTCTGGAGGAGTCACAAGGCAGCCGGGGGATTCAGCACTCTCCGTCCTGTCCTGAGGCACAGACCCAGGTCCCAGGAGCAGAAGCTGCAAGCAGTCTGTTCACGTCAGTGCCCCGTGGTTTAGGCGTCACTGTCCCACACAGCCTGGCCACACTTCCCCGGGTCTGGCAGTGGACGGTGGGAATGGGGGGATGGGGAGGTGGTCACACCCCAAGCCCACTCCTGGCCCCTCTGGGCTCTGCTTTGGAAGGGATATGCGTGGGTTGCTTTTGGGCATCCCCTGATGCTCTGAGACCGTGTTCTCCCTGAAATTGGGCTGTGCTGGCCTCTAGGAGGGATATGAGGGTTGCTCATGGGGTGACTAGAGGGAGCTGCCAGGTTAAACACAGACACAGGCTTCACTCAGATCCCTGCTGTGTGGCCGAGACCAGGTCGGGTAGGGACCTAGCTTGACTAGGCGGCAATGACAGGGCCTGGCAATCAAGGAAGAAGCTGAGAACCAAGTGCAGGAAGAGAATTGCCTTTGTGCCCCAGGGACAGAGAACCCTCCCGGGGCAGGCAGTTTGCCTGGAAGTTAGATGCTGGTTAAGACTCCCGTGTCCCACACCGGAGTGCCTCCTGCTAATGCACACCCTGGGTGGCAGCAGGTGATGGCTCAAGTACTTGGGTCCCTGTCACCCCCATGGGAATGGAAGTCCAGCTCTGATATGGGCATCTGGGGAAGTGAACCAGTGCATAAGAACTCTCTCTTGCCCCCTCCCTCCCTCCCTCTAAAATAAATTAACAAATAATTAAAAACAAAAATTGAAAACCAAAAAGAGCTGCTTCTAGGCCCAGCACCTGAGTCCTTCCTGAATTGCTCCTGCCTCTTCTCACTTCCTTTTTCCCAGATTAGACATCCTGGGCCTCTAGGACACCCCTCCCCTGACCCCTCCCTGCATCCCCAGGACGAGTCAGCAGGGCGCCTGAGTTCTGTCAGTGCCCTGAAGCCCACCCAGGCTTCCACTGGGAGCAAGTCCCTCCCGCTGTGAGCTGCAGCCATGAGAGGAGAAGAGGCCTCATGAAGTGTGTTCACAGGGGGATGGAACCTGCAAAGAAGTCTTTGCCCGCTGCCGGGACAGCCTCTCAGCCCTCGCCTTTCAGGCACAGGCTCTGGCCAGCCCTTCTCATCGCCCAAAGGTCTTCCTTGGGAGCGGAGCTTCCTTGGTCAGAAGCCGGGGCTGTTTCTCTGTCAGGTCAGAGACACAGGGATGCTTAGGGACCTCGAACATTTTAAAATTCTTTTATAATAGCAAGGGAAAAAGGGGACTTTTAGGTGGAATAAAATGGCTTAGTATATACTAATTATGTATTCATTTTTGTATCACGGCAGTCACACAGTCTACCTGATACATGTTTTATGGAGGAAGAAGCTCCCCTGTCCACGAAGGGTGGGCTGTGGCTGTGCCCCAAGCCAAGCTTCCGAATGAATGTGAGAACTTGACAGTGCAGGTTTTCAGTTGGTTTGGTTTGGTTTGGGTCTTTCTGGTTTTGAAGAAACCCAGGACCTATTTCTTAGTTGAGGTTTGAGGTCTGGGGGAGCTGGGGTACTGCTGGGAGCCCTTGCCAGTCGGATGCTTCCTCAAGGTTCACACGGAGCCAGGCGGTGGCATTGGGGCTGCGTGTGCCAGGGGCATCTCCCTCTTCCAGGGAGAACTCCAGGGACTTGTCTCGATGCATTACTTAAGGACGTTTTGACAGCCAAGCTGGCCAGTGCTGCACTGGGCCGCCCGGAGCAGCATGAGTCACAGGGCGGGCGGAAGCTTTCCTCGTGGGCGAGAGGTTTTCTTCGTGATCTGGGTCGACGAGGTACCTCTGAGGTTCCTGCCAAACTCTGAGACACTGGGATTCCGTGAACATTAGACTTGGTGCTATATAATTAGGATGCTAACCTCATGATGGAGGGGGAAAAAAATCAGATGGAAAAAGAAAGTATACCAGCCATTTCAACATCTAACGCAGTTCCTGTTTTTCTTGCTCTGTGATGTGACCCATCTGTGAAGCTACTCTCTCTTAGGGGTACAGTGTAGAAAGAACTTAAACCGACACCCCCAGACCACCCTGGCCTTTTCAGACTGCATTGCTGTCTTCTTTGCTTCCCTGGTTTGTGGCGGGTACCTTGGACTCTGGACAGGTTTCTGGACTGTTCTGTACTCTGAGTGCTGACTCTGCACGCCTTGGCTTTGCATCTGAATGCGATGCCAGCTCCTGGAGTGAGTATCTCAAGAGATAAACCACCAGCTTGGAGGCAAACAGAAACACTCCCTGTGCTGCAGACGTTTGGCCTGGGGTTGTAGGCAGAGCCCTAGAGAGGAGGAGGAGGTGGGTGGGCTGGTGCCTTCTGTCGCCCCTGAAAGGTGGAGAGTCCCACTTCAGTCCTCAGGAGGGGGAGAGTGGGAGGTGTAGCCCTCAAGACCTCCCTGGCCGTGAGCCTGAAGTCTCCTGCCTGCCTCACCACAGGGACCGCGGCCTTCTTCCTGGAGGAAGCCTAGCCTCCCGTTGGCCCGGGCTCCTGGCTCCACCAGGCCCCACTGACTCAGTTGGCCGGGTCCTCAGACAAATGGCTCTGTTGAAAGAGCCGCTCCTTTGTTCTTGCTGAAGAGTTTTTTCCTACGTGAGTGGAGCAGACTGGAGGGAGATGTGTCGTATGGTATAGTAAAATTGCACCGCTGACTGTAAAAAAAAAAAAAAATTAACAGAATCTACCAAAATATTAACAACAGCTGTCTTTGGGTGATGGACTGTGTGTGTGTTGTTCTTTTTATATTTTTGAATGTTCTAACTTTTTCCCCCATAAAACTTTAGAAAAAATTAATAAGATAGACAAAGAAAAAGAACTTCCATCTGCTGCTTCACTCTCCAAATGCCCGCAACAGCTGGGGCCGGGCTGGGGCTGGGCTGGGAGCTGGGAGCTCAATGCAGTTCCCCTCGAGGGTGGCAGGAACTCACTCACTGGAGCATCACTGCCGTCTTGCAGGGTCTGTGCTGGCAGGAAGCTGCAGTCAGGAACAGCTGCAGCCGAGAGTTAAACCAGGCACTGCAGTGCCATCTCAACCAGCACCTCGACTGCCAGACCAGACATGGCCTGCCACAGCATTCACTTTTCCGTAACGCGCAAATTTGCTAAAATAAAGGGGATGGAGTCTTTGCTGTATCAAGACATCCTAAACAAAGACTATGTATAGTAGAGACCCAGGCAATGCAAAATGAAGTGAGCGTTCTCTTGGTGACACCTGTCACACAGCTCTCCCTCAAATCAAGTGGCTGTGGCCTCGTTGGTGATGTGCAGAACCCCTTCCTCATGGTGTGCCCCTGTGAGCTGTAATGCAGACATTCAATAACCACTTTCTGAGTGTCAGGGCTTCTCTGGGTCTTCCCTTTTCATCCACATGGCCACCCTGTGAGACAAGCACATTTAGTATCACGCCCATTTTCGAGACTAGAAAACTGAGGCATTGAGATGATACAGCTGGGATTTGAACTCAGGCCGCAGAGCTTGGCTGCTGAACCACTGCACCATTCTGCCCCTCGGAGGAGCAGAACCTGGAGGAAACACAGGCGTAGAGAGCGGCCATGTGGGAGGCTGTCAGTGCCTGTCTGGGCTGGGTCCGGTGGGTTTCAACTGTGGCAGGGCCAGGGAGGAGTCAGAGAGCTGGGCTAATGTGGTTCTCCTTCTCTGCAGCGTGCTGGACATTTTCCCCACTGTGGTAGCCCTGGCTGGGGCCAGCCTGCCCCAAGGCCGGCACTTTGACGGTCTGGATGTCTCCGAGGTGCTCTTGGGCCGGTCCCAGACTGGACACAGGGTAAGTGGCGGAGGCGTGGGCCCACACCTGGGCTCTTCATCCAGGCCTTTGTTGCCTTTGTGCAAACAGAACTACCCTCAGAAGGTCAGCCCCTGCAAGGAGCCCTGAGGGGTGGATCCTGGGAGATGATCCCTGCTTTGCACTCCGTGCCCGTCACCCAGCCAGCTCATCAGTCCAGATTCACGTTTAACTGTGCGTCACGGGTGGGCCTATGTGGGTGCTTACCCCTATGATGATGGTCTCCCTCGCATGTATTTAATTTTCTGTTAGTTGCATGAGATGGCTGACTGGTGTCTGTGACTTGTTCCTGGTGGGTCTCCCCAAGTAGAATAGAAGTTTTCTGAAGGCAGGGATCCCAGCTGTCAGCTCACCATTGAGTTTTCAGTGGACCTCACGGCACCTGCCCGCAGCCCGCATTCTGTCCATGCGCAGTGGATGAACGAACGAACGAGCCAAAGATGTCTGGAATGGCAGGGTCGGCAGCGTCTTGTATCCCTGCGCCCGGGCACTGGTCACATACATCCCTCTGCGGCCTTGGCAGGGACCTTGGGCCTCAGTGCCCTCCTCAGTGCACGGTCAAGCACACAGAACTTCGGCCTGGTGGCCCTTCCCTGTCATTTCCATGTGTTTTCCTTTCACCGAAAGGAAGAGGGCGTGGGAGGAGGGACGGAGGCGGAAGAGCGCACACGCTGCTTTGTCAGGGACCGGCACTTCAAAGAGTCTATTTATGTCTCTTCTGAGGGTCACCTGGAAGTGACTCAGATGTGCTCAAACGCACGGTGGCTGTGGTCACTGGAGCTGCCCTTCCCACTCACCCTCCCCCGGCCAACCGCAGGGCCCGCCGCGGTTTGGTGCCCTTTAACGCAGCGGCTGGGCCAGAGGTCCCCTGGGAGGTTGCGCCTCTCCCGGGAGGTGCTGGCCCTGGAGAGCTGCGCCTCGCTCTGCTCCCCAGGCTGGCTTCCGCCGGGGCTGGAAGTGAGCGGCCATGACCCTGAGGCTTATCCGCCACGTCAGGAGAGGCGCTCCTGCGTGTTTACTACCGCGGCTCCGAATAGAATCCTTGGGGTCACCAGGAAGCGGCTCCTTGACGTGGGCGGCCCTGCCTGGGGACGCCAGCTCCTGCACGGGGGAGCTTCCGTTCTCAGACAACCTCGGCTGCGGATGCCAGGCGCAAGCTCCTGGTGGGGATGCCCCTGTGGGAGTGGGGGCTGACTTGCTCTTCTAACCACAGTGAAATGGCGGGAAGCTGCAGAGGGTTTCAGCAAGGTTAGAAGCACGCGGAGGTTGGCACCTGTGGGCCCCAGCAGGTCCCTGTAGGTGTGAGCCAAGAGGCTGAGGCAAGACTCAGGACAACAGGGGGTAGCTGCTGGCCCTGAGTTTGGCTGTGGTCGTCTCTGGTCACCTGTCTCTAATATAGCCGAATAATAGGATTAAAGAGAATAAGTTGTCTTGCTGGGCCGGCGCCGTGGCTCAATAGGCTAATCCTCCACCTTGCGGCGCCGGCACACCGGGTTCTAGTCCCGGTTGGGGCGCCGGATTCTGTCCCGGTTGCCCCTCTTCCAGGCCAGCTCTCTGCTATGGCCAGGGAGTGCAGTGGAGGATGGCCCAGGTGCTTGGGCCCTGCACCCCATGGGAGACCAGGAAAAGCACCTGGCTCCTGGCTCCTGCCAGGATCAGCGCGGTGCGCCGGCTGCAGCGGCGGCCATTGGAGGGTGAACCAACGGCAAAGGAAGACCTTTCTCTCTCTGTCTCTCTCTCTCACTGTCCACTCTGCCTGTCAAAAAAAAAAAAAAAAAAAAAAAAAAAGAGAATAAGTTGTCTTGCATTGCAACAGCTGTGGGGAAGTCAGCGAGTGATTTTATATTTGTACAGATAAATATACAGATGTCTAAAGATGCATGCATATATACATGTATACTTAGTTTATTTTTTAAAGACCTATTTATTTTAAAGGCAGAGTTATAGAGAGGTAGAGGCAGAGAGAGAGAGAGACATCTTCCATCCTCTGGCTCACTCCCTAAATGGTCACAACGGCCACAGCTGGGCCAGGCCGAAGCCAGGAGCCAGGAGATTCATCCATGTCCCCCACGTGGGTGCAGGGGCCATCTTCCACTGCTTTCCCAGGCATATTAGCAGGGAACTGGATTGGAAGTGGGGAAACCAAGACTTGAACTTGCACCCTTATCGGATGCCAACACTGCAGGAGGAGGCTTAACCCACCATGCTATAGCACCAGCCCCAACTTAGGTTATTTTAAATAAACACAAGCTGTTCACCTTCATATGTGCCCTGGGCTTTCGAGGGTCCCCAGTGCAGGGTGTTGCTCAGGAGTTGGGTTCTTGCCTGTTTTTTTTTTTTTTTTTTTTTACGATTTTAGTTGAGAAGTAGAGTTACAAACAGTGAGAGGGAGAGACAGAGAGAGAGGTCTTCCATCTGCTGGTTCACTCCCCAAATGGCCACAATGGCCAGAGCTGGGCTGATCTGAAGCCAGGAGCCAAGAGCTTCTTCTGGGTCTCCCACCCAGGTGCAGGGACCCAAGCACTTGGGCCATGTTCTACTGCTTCCCCAGGCCATAGCAGAGAGCTGGATCGGAAGTGGAGCAGCTGCGACTAGAACTGGCGCCGATATGGGATGCCGGCACTGCCCTGCCGACACAGTGCTGGCCTCTTTGCCTGTTTTCCTGTTTTGCAAATCAAGAGACTGAGAGTTGAAGAGAAGCAGCCCCAAGCCACAGGCCCTGTGGCTGCCCCTCCAGGTTATATTGACAGGTTCAGGACAAACGGTGTGCTACTGGGTTTCACGCTGCATAGGCCTCTGTGACCCTCTTCATCCACCTCTTGGGACGTCACATCTATGGTGTTCAAATACCGCAGCCGGCCCCATCCTGCACATTCTTGCCCCTGCTCCTAGACCCGCATCTAGGCTGGGAGGGGGAGGGGCACACAGGCTCAGTCCAGCTCTGTGCTGTCCTGACTCCCAGATGGAGGCTACAGGTGCTGATGTCTCCACTGGTCAAGTCATCCCTGTCATCACCAGGTCCAAACACTGCCGACCAGGGACGGGTTTCTCTGCTGGCTCTCAGCTGGAAGAAGCTATGCATTGAGGAAACAGAGCCAGGTGTTGGGCTCCAGAACACCCATCACTTCTCTTAGGGAGGCCCCTAGTGGTGAAAGACCTCATCGGAGTGGTTGGCAAAGGACTGACTGTGCCAGCCACCCCTTGTGGGGACAGTGAGCGGTGCACCCCCACCTGACGGCGGCCCCGGGGGAAGGAGCCCACCTTCTGGGGATGCTGTGCAAGTGTTGGCCTCGTAAGGGACCTCTGGCATGCTTAGAAAACAAAATAAAGCAGACACGCGCTCGGCTAAGAAAGGCGATGAAGGAGACACAAGTTTACGGAAGACAAAATCATGTTTGAAATTCAGACCAGGCATCTGTGGAGCGAATATCTTCAGCTGCAATTCTTGTGTAAATTTGCCAGCCTCCTTCCTATGTTGATATAAACAAAGAAAGCTGTAATCAGTCTGCTCAAAGGAAAAAAAAAAAGTGCATGGATGAGTTCTTCAGGATCCAGCCACGCGTTTCTGAGAATGAGGCATCCCACAGTTTTGCTTCCTCTTGGGTTTTGGAAGTCGCCTCTGGTGATGCTGCGTTAGCATTCCAACCGCGGCAGCCCCCTACCCTTGATGGGATTTCTGTTCCCCAGACTCAAATGATGCCGGAGACCTGGAGCAGCAGACCGACGGCCGCCGCCTCCTGGATGTCTGAGTGCATCAGAGATCCGTTGACAATAGTTTTCCAAGTCTCCCACTTCCTGCCATCTCAAGAAGGAAACAAAACAGTCTCCTGCGGTGGGAGCTTGGCTTTCTGCGCGGATGGAAGAAGTGAGGGTTTTCAGTTACAACTTCTTTTCCTGTTTGGAAGGAGCCTGCTGTCATCAGGAGCGCGCGGGGCGTGTGCAGGGATTGTCACGAGAACACGGAAGCAGCAGGTGTGGGGCGAGCCCCCCCCCCCCCCGGCTGGCATCCTCCCAGGGCTGTGAAATGGGGGTGGGGGAGACAGCTGTTTACTGCTCCTCCAACAGATGTTTCTCATTTTTTTTTCTCATTTTTTTTAAGCCCCATGGAAACTTTGAATCACGTAAGCGCCTTTCCAGCAATATATATGGTCATGATTCATACCAGGGCAGTCTCAAGCATCCAGCTCAAACCCACCAACCTACCAAGGACACTGCCCTTTTATTTTCTACCAACCTCTTCCCTTGGGAGCCCTGAATTAGGTGTTTCCATTCTTTGGGGGAGGGGTAGTTCTTTCATCTGTGACCCGATGAGGAAAGGTTTCCTCGGCCCAAGTACAGTAGGACTGAGTCATAGGTGTGGGCGTCTGCGCTCAGAGGCTGGGCTGTGCCCGTTGTTGGAGAAGTCACAGATGCCCCGTTACACCGTCGTCGCTCAGGGGAGGGCTGGAACAGGCCTGGGTGCCGAGGAAGCTGTGGTTCCAGGAGAACTGAGCGTCACTTGCATTGGGCTCCCGGGGACCCTTGTGAAACACGCAAGTCCCCGGGCCCCATCCTCACATGGAGGGATGGGGCTCGGGCAGGGCCAGTCTCAGGCCACGGGACCTGTGCAGCCACAGCACCCACCTGCCCACCCTTCCCACCCCAGCTTGCATTTTGAAGGGCCCTGTGCTTGGTTTCAGTGTCTGCTCGTCTATCCTGGTATTTCACATTTGTGAGCCACGTACCCCCGAATCTCAGTTTGCACGGGGCCCTGGAAATTACAGAGTGGGTACTGGCCTAGGACTCTGACCTTCTGCCCACTGGGGCAGAGCTGTAACCCACGCTGATAAATTAACCAGCAAAGTAACTGTTCGCTGGCACCTCTGGAAGTTGGCCGATGTGGGCTGGTGGGCTGTGTCCAGTGTGTGTGTGGGGGTGGGGACAGGGCTGCTGGGGAGGGTGGACCCGGGGTCTCACTAATCAGTCCTGCCGCCTTTCACAGGTGCTGTTCCACCCCAACAGTGGGGCAGCTGGACAGTATGGAGCTCTGCAGACTGTCCGCCTGCGGCAGTACAAGGCCTTCTACGTCACCGGTGAGTGGGTGCTGCCCAGGTCTGCCTCCTGCATGCGTGCCTGCATGGGGACCCTCGGACTCCCGCTTGGGGCTCTGAGCTGTGGCTCTTTGGGGACCTCTCAGCATCTCTGGCGGTGCCACCCGCCAAACCCTGGCCTGGCAGAAGGGCTCACGGCAGGCCCTGTGGACCCAAATGAGGCTTTTCTGCTGGCTGCCCAAGTGTCCAGCACGCTCGAGCTCATCAGGCACGTTTCTTCAGCCCCTTTGCACGTGGAGCACGCTCTGTTCCATTTTACGCTTTAAATACCAGTGTGGCTGAACGTGAAATGGAAGCCTGGAGATATTTTAAAGTGTAATTTACTTGACGGTGGACTGTTGCCGAAAATAGACTGTAGAGGTCTAGTTAGCAAACTGCCGGAGAAGCCTCCCTGCGTCTTGGTTCTCTCCGGCGGTCTTCGCTGTGTGTTTTCGAAATGTCATCCTGGGTCAGCATGGTTTTCTGAGTCTTCTTGCAGCTGGCTGAATTCAGACTTGGACTCCTGGGTCCTTTCCCCTTCTGATCTCATTTCTCCGAGAGCTAGGCCCCTCTCCCTTGATATCCATGTTAAAATCCCTGTGAGCTTTTATGGCCCCAGACCAGATACCACACTGATCAGAAAGCTGCCTCGTGTTGTCCTTGCTGGGCAAACTGGGAGAGCTCTGGTGTCCACCTCATCGCGCCATAGAAACCAGTCGCTGATGCACCTGTGCTGTTTCCTCTACCACTTTTAACCTCTCAAAACTCAGAACTCTTTAAGCTCTTTATTTATTTATTTTTAAGGATTTATTTATTTATGTGAAAGGCAGGGTTATAGAGATTCAGAGAGAGAGAGAGAGAGAGAGAGAAAGAGAGAGAGGTCTTCCATCCACTTGTTCACTCCCTAAATGGTTGCAATGGCCAGAGCTGGGCCAATCTGAAGCCAGGAGCCAGGAGCCTCTTCCAGGTCTCCCACACAGGTACAGGGGCCCAAGCACTTGGGCCATCTTCTACTGCTTTCCCAGGCCATAGCAGAGAGCTGGATCGGAAGTGGAGTAGCCGGGACTCGAACTGGTGCCCATATACGATGCCGGCACTGCAGGTGGTGGCTTTACCCACTACGTCACAACGCTGGCCTCTATCTGTGTTTTTAATAAAGATTTATTTTTGTAAGTCAGAATTACAAAGAGAAAGGGAAAGAGAGAGAATCTTCCATCTGCTGGGTCACCCTCCAAATGGCCACAATGGTCAGGGTGGGGCCAGGCCAGTGCCGGGAGCCAGGAGCTCCTCTGGATTGCCCACGCTGGGGAAGCCCAAGCACTTGGGCTTTCCCAGCTGCATTAGCAGGGAGCTGCATTGAAAGTGAAACAGTCAGAACTCGAACCAGCTCCCGTATGGGATGCCCGCCCCACAGATGGCAGCTTAACCCACTGTACCACAGCGCAGTCCCCTCTTTAAGCTCTTTATTCTTTATCATTATGAAGTTCTTAGTGCAGTATCTTACACTTAGTATGAATCCTAACTTTTTTTAAAATGAATGGAAAGCAAAAGACAAAAAAGCAAAAATCTGGGATCTAATGCAGATTCCAATTTGATTATTTAATGCTGGAGCTTTTCAAAGAATAATATAATAAAAACCAAAGATGGTTCTTCTCTGAGTGTACATAAGTGATCCTGAAGAAAACGTGGCATAGAAACAAAACAAGTTCTTGGAGTTCGTAACTTGAGGGCTGTTAGGAAGCTTTGATTCTCCAGAATCTAAAACACAAAGCAGTCGGATGTTTGTCATGGTTTCAGATGAAAAGTTTCGAGATTAGAGTCCGTACATTACATTATCTGCAAGGCATGGGACCTCCAGGGTGAGCCAATTTCAGAAGTGATAGCCCTGCCAGAGTGCTTGGCACCGTGATGTTGGAATCATAAATGTTGCTATGAAGTAATTGGGATGCTTAAAATGATCACAGCGAGACAGGAATTCTAATCCCCGGGGAGGCCTGTTCTGGGGAGTCACCGGGCTTCCAGGAGAGTGGAGGGGCAGGGCGGAGGAGAGCGGGGGCTCTGAAAGCGCTGTGACCAGGATGGAACACTGGTGTGCTCCAGTTCCTTATTGCTGGTCTCCTCCCCACCACCCTGCCCCTTAAAATTCGCATCCTGTTTTCCTACATCTGCTTTGGGGGGAGCTGGAAGAATCTGTTGCATTCAGTTTGTCAGTGATTGCCCTTCAGTGCTGAGCTTATGGTGTTGTGGTCATGAAGCAGGAGCAGCTCTTAAAAGACAACTGGGGCCAGCGCCATGGCACAGTAGGTTAATCCTCTGCCTGCAGCACCGGCATCCCATAGGGGCGCCGGTTCGAGTCCCGGTTGCTCCTCTTCCAATCCAGCTCTCTGGTATGGCCTGGGAAAGCAGTAGAAGATGGCTCAAGTCCTTGGGCCCTTGCACCTGCATGGGAGATCAGGAAGAAGCTCCTGACTCCTGGCTTCAGATCAGCGCAGCTCCAGCCTTTGTGGCCATTTGGGGAGTGAACCAATGGAAGGAAGACCTTTCTGTCTCTCCCTCTCACTGTTTGTAGCTTTACCTCTCAAATAAATAAATAAAATCTTAAAAAAAAAAAAAAAAAGGACAACTAGTGTGTCTTGACGTGTGGTGTCAATTAAGGCACCTTACTATGTTTAGGTTTCTGGTTTTTGTTTTCAGTAATTAAGGCAAACTTCACACACACTGAAAGGCCTGGATCTAAAGTGCACCATTTAGTGGGTTTTCAGAAATGTGTACACCTGCGTATATGTCCCATCCTTTTGTTGTGGATTCTCTTGATAGGTTTTTAAATGTTACACTGACATTACATTCCTGGATAAACCATGCATCATGACATGGAATTGTTCTTTTTAACTCTTGCTGCATTTGATTCGTCACGATTTTGTCTTCAGTTTTCCTTTTTTGTCATGTCTGTGTCAGGGTTTCTTGGATCTCATTTTCTGAAAGGGTTTGTGTAAGATTCTGTTACTACTTTCATGTCTGATTGTGTTCATCCATGAAACTGTTTGCCTGATTCAGCTTTGTGAAACTTTTGCCCCATGTTTTTCTTCTAAGAGTTTCATTGTTTTTTTAAGTAAATTTTTTTTAAGAATATTTATTTGAAAGTCAAGAGTTAACACAGAGAAGGAGAGGCAGAGAGAGAGAGAGAGAGGTGTCTTCCATTCATTGGTTCACTCCCCAGTTGGCTTGTAACAGCCGGAGCTGTGCCGATCTGAAGCCAGGAGTCAGGAGCTTCCTCTGTGTCTCCCATGTGGATGCAGGGGCCCAAGAACTTGGGCCATCTTCCACTGCTTTCCCAGGTCACAGCAGAGAGCTGGAGAGTCAGCACTTGAACTGGCACCCATATGAGATGCCAGCGCTGCAGGCAGAGGATTAACCTGCTATGCCACAGCGCCAGACCCAAGAGTTTTATTGTTTAAGGTCTTACATGTAGGTCTGTGATCTACTTTTAGTTCATTGTTTATATTTATTAGGGAAGGCTCCAACTTCATTCTTCATATGTTGAGATCCAGTTTCCCCAGCACCATTTGTTTAAAAGACTGTCCTTTCCCTATTAAAACTCATTCGATCAAATATGTGAGGGACTATTCCCTGGCTTTCTAATCCATGCCGTTAGTTTATATGAGATTGTTTGGTTGGGTTAGTCTGGGATCCTTAAGATTTCATGTGAATTTTAGGATAAGTTTTTAAAAAATGTCAGGGTTTTTGTAAGGATTTCCATTGAGTTTGTAGATCACTTTGAGTACTATGGACTTTTTAATATTAAGCCTTATTTCCAATCCATAAACATGGGATATGTCTCTATTTATTTATATCTTCTTTAATTTTTTCAACAATGTTTTTTCTAAAAGATTTATTTATTTATTTGAACATCAGAGTTACACAGACAAGGAGAGGCAGAGAGAGTGAGAGAGAAGTCTTCCATCTGCTGGTTCATTCCCCAATTGGCCGCAATAGCCAGAGTTGAGCCAATCCGAAGCCAGGACCCAGGAGCTTCTTCTGGTCTCCCATGTGGGTGCAGGGTCCCAAGGACTTGGGTCATCTTCCACTGCTTTTCTAGGCCATAGCAGAGAGCTGGATTGGAAGTGGAGCAGCTGGGACTCGAACTGGCACCTATATGGGATGCCAGCACTGCGGGCGGTGGCTTTACCCATTACACCACAGCACCAGCCTCAACAATGTTTTATAGTTTTTATTGTACACATCTTTTACTTTTTTTGTTGTTGTCAATTCCTAAGTATTTTGTTCTTTTTGATATTATTGTAAATGGACTTGTTTCCCTAATTTCTTTTTTAAATTGTTCATTGTTAGTATTTAGAAATGAAGCTTATTTTTAGGTTCCAACTTAATATACTGTTATTTTGTTGAATTCATTTATTCTGTGTGTGTGAGTGTAATCTTTAGGATTCTCTACTTATAAAAGTATCTGCAAAAGAGGTAATTTTACTTCTCCATTTCTGATTTGGGTGCCTTTTATTTCTTTTTCTTGCCTATTTGTTTTGACTGGCACTTCTAGAACAAATAGATGCCTGCATCTATTGATAGCTCATATGATTTTTCTTCTTTAGTTTTTTGATGTGATGGATTACCTTAATTGATTTTCAGATGTTGAGTGAGCCTTGCATTAATTACCTGGAATAAATCTCACTTGTTTGTAATATATAGTTTTTTAAAAATCCATTTTTGGTTTAATTTCTTAATATTTTGTTGAAGTTTTTTCATCTGTGTTCAAGAGAGACATTGGCCTACAGTTTTCTTTTCTTACAATATCTGTGTGTTTCAGTATTAGGGTAATGCTGATCTTGCAGACTGGGATGGGAAGTATTCCCTCGGCTTCCATCTTCAGGAACAAATGGAAGAGAATTGGAATAATTCCTTCCTTAACTGTTTGGGAGAAGTCATCAGCGAACCATCTGGTCCTGGTGCTTCCTGTTTTAGAAGGTTTTTAATTATTACTTCAATTTCTT